TGGTCTTAAGCATGGCAACTTGTTGTCTTAATTCATCATTGTCACTAGTGAGAATGGGACAATTTTCACACCTACCAATCCTATCATGAACAAATTTTTCTTTTAGTTCTTTCAATTCCATCTCAAGCAAACCCATATCAACTTTCATTTCATAGCAAGTAGAGCAAGCAGCACTAGCACTAGAAGGATTCCCAGCTCCTAAAGCACATGATTTCAACTTATCCTTGAGGAGATTAATTTCAGAAAGATATGAAGCACAAGTAGAACAGGTATCCTCCTCAGGAATCATGGATCGAAGCCTAGCAATTTCTAGCGCCATTCCATCATTTTCAGATTTTAGTTTCTCAATTTTATACTTAGAAGACCTATACTTATCACTAATTTCAATCATCAAGTGTGCCATTCTTTCTTTGCTTAGTTCATCATCAACAGAGTCATTATCTGAGCAAGAATCATCACAAAGAGAACCATCCAAGGAAGGGATATCATCAAGACATACCTCAGGATGCTCCGATGAGTCATCCTTATCCTCAAGCGCCATGAGACACAGGTTGATGAAGTCCTCGTTGTTGGCGAGACAGCACATCCCGGAGAAGTCCTTGTCCCCCTTTTCTTGATCATCGTCGTCGGAGTCGATGTCGCTAAGCTGCACCTCCTCAAGAGCCGCCAAGACCTTGTGGATCGCCTTCTTCATCAAATCCTTCTTCCCCTTTCGCCCTTGTCCCTCGGGCTTCTTGGTCGTCTTGTCACTCTTCTTCTTCAACTTGGGACAATTCACTCTTTTGTGGTTAGGCTCTCCACACTCAAAACACACAAATGGTTCATTGGTTTTTCCTCTTTTTCTATCTCTCACATTTTTGTAAGCTCTTGAGAATTTTCTAGCAAAAAGAGCAAGATCATCTTCAGGGATCTTCTCTAATTGCTCCTCAGTGACTGAGTGTAAAGCGGCAAGAGAGAAGCCACCATACACAAAAGCTGAGTCATTAGAAGAAGTACTACCAGAGGGATCAGCTACCAAAGCCATCGAGTGTTTGAGGCCTTTCCGATGGAAAACATCCATCTCATGGGTTTTTAGCTTTGAGTAAAGCTTGTCCATGGTAAGGTCACTCAGAGGTGCACTCTCTGTGATGGAAGTAACTTTCATTTCCCAAACACCATAATCAAGACAATTCAAAAGATGGCGAGCATTATCATTATCAGAAAATTCTTTTCCAACAGATCTCAACTTCGAAATAATTTCTCCAAAACGTTTGAAATAAGAATCAATGGACTCTCCTGGGTGCATCTCAAATCTTTGATATTCTTTATGAAATTGATTCTGACGAACCAATTGAATATCATTGTTTCCCTCATGGAAATTGCACAGAGCAGTCCACATGTCATGAGCGGACTTGTGGTGTTGAACACGATTAAATTCACCAGAAGAAATTCCACCAATGATTGCATTTCTTGCACGATAATTAAAATCAACCTGAGCCATATTTGCAGGCGTGATGTCAGCATCATCGGGCACAGTGTAAGGAGATTTAACCTTATTCCACACATTATGCCCTTGCGACTGGAGGTAGGCCTCCATTCGTGCCTTCCAAATGACAAAATTGTGTCCATCGAAAACAAATGGTTTCGCAGAGTATTTTTCCTCCATAGCTGCGTTCGTTGCCACGGTTAGGTTACAACGAACTTAACCGGGCTCTGATACCAATTGAAAGACCAAGAACAGCTATAGAGGGGGGGTGAATATAGCAATTCAAATCTTGCCCCCGAAAATACTCATCAAGCCGGATTTCTCAAAATCCTTACTAGAATCGCGGCTATTAGAAGCCGGATCTAGAAAAGAAGAGAGAAAAAGAAGAGAGAAGGAATTCCCGAAACTAGAGGAGGAAGAGAAAAGGAATTCCCGAAACTAGAAGAGAGGTGAGAAAGAGAGAGCAAAACTCATCATCGCAAAGTTCAAATTGCAAGCGGAATTTAAATTGCGGAATTTAAATGGACAAGGCAAAAATGAAATCCTTCAAATCATTTCATTTATAGGTGATGCAAAATAACCGCTCAACTAGGAGCAAACATACACCTTCAGAGGAACATTAACACAAACTTAAAATCTCTCGGACAAACACACTCCAAACTAATCCTAATACAAAAGCCTCTCGGGCAAACACACTCCAAACTCACACGGAAACTCTCTCACCGAGCATCTCAAAATGATTACCAAAAGGAGCAACCTCCACCCTTGCATCCATCTCTCTATTTATAGCCTAAGACCCCTAAGACATTGTCTCAAATACCCCTAGGGCGAAACCCTAACTTAGAACAGATCTGGTCCATCCATTGTTCCTTCTACTCAAAGGAAAAGCTCCAGATGATTGCCACCTCATCGACCCGAACCCTCACATGGTCTTCTTGCTGATGAATCCGCGTGCTCTCCGTCTTGACGAATCCAAACTTGCCACGTTGCCCAGCCGCGTCGTGCGCGTTCCGTCTCCTTTTCCTCAGCGCGCGCTCGCCAGCGCCCAACCAGCCCGAAGCCGCCACGCGTCCCGCTGAGCCGCTCCCGCGCGCGCTTGCAAAATCGCGTGTGGGTCCCGCGCTCCTGCACCCGCCTCCGATCGAGTCACGCGAAACGGAGGTTGCCGCGTACGGTTTTCCCGCGCGCGTCCTTGCGCATGCAAGCTGCCTGCACCTCCTGAGCCCATGCGCCATGGGCCGCCGTCTTGGGCCGTCGCTGCTTGGACGATGCAGGCCTGCCGAGCCGAGCCATTCACCATCTTGGGCCACGTGGAACGGCTGGATTGGCTTGGCCTCCCTGCCAACCAATCACAGCGCACATGCACAGCTAGCTAGCTTGACTTTTCCACCGAGCCATGCTAGTAGCAACCAGTACAGTGCAAGCTCCTCCTTGCACAAGTACAGTACGTGTACATGCATGTATGCTACCTACAGCAAGTACTGTAGCAGCAATGCACTTGCACAGTCCCTTCTGATTTCTTCGCGAATCCGATGCTTGCACACTTGACCTTGTGAAGCCTGTTGCAAAGACCTCCTCACACGGTGTTCGTCCACCGTGTGCAACCTTGTGTCCAATCTTGTCACCCGGCATCCTTGATCGCTTTGGACCTCAACTCCTCCTTGAGTCTAGTCCCGATCCGCCGTTGACCAAGATCGACCCCGATCACCTGCACACACATGAACCAAACAACCGTTGTCTTGGCACAGATGTCGCAACCTGACCAACGTTAGTCCACACACACACTTCTTGCACATCCGGTACTTGTCAATTTCCCATCACAAAAGAACTATAACCACACATGGTTTCACAATTTGAACTTTTTTTTTAAAAAAAAAAAATCCCATCGTTGTCGTCAGTTTGTGTTCTGCGACACGTAGATCGGATGAAGATGCAGGTCTGTCGATGTACAGTAATTGTACTCGAAACAAACAAGACTGTGTGTTTAGTTCACACTTAATTCTGAAAGTTTGTTTGAAATTAAAACCATGTGATTGAAAAATTATGTGTATGAAAGATTTGATGTGACGAAAAATTGAAAGTACAGAAGAGCCTAAAGAGAAGAGGGAGGATGACAAAGGGATACAGTGCAATCCTGAAATAAGGTACAGTACACCCAGTGTTCTATCATCTCATATGACTGTAGTCTGTAATCAAATTATACAACGAACAATGCTATACGTATGACTTGTATGTCCGACCAGCGTACGATCAAACGGTAAAACAACTCAATACGTGACTGAGTATGGTGACAACATGGCTTGGTTATACGGAGATTAACGTCACGAGCTCACGGCGTTAAGGTCGTTCCAAAGTCACACAAGTTTAGTCGTACGTATAGTATTTTTCTTATACAACATTAGTTTGGAAAAAGGCTGTAGACAATGACTAGGAAAAGAGAGAAAAAAAGAGGTTGTTCAGAGATAATTATATTTTTCATACTTTTAGCTCTCAATGACTAGGATAGATATCAGATAAAGTTGCCCCCATGTTAGCTCGAGTAAATGTTGTTTTTCTACCTTTTAGGCTCACAAATATGGTCCTTTCTAGCATTAAATCCCATCTAAACCGAATCATTCTCCGGTTGAAATGTAGAGAATTTACATGAATTTATTCGGAACCCGAAGAAATCCAAATGATGCCTGTCTTATTTTTTAGATACTACTGAAATAAAAATATACAGGAATAATGCATGCCTCATAAAGAAAAAGAAAAGTCCTTTTCCAAAAGAGAAATTATGATAAGAGCTTTTCATAATCATCACGGTCTGGAGTTTGGACCACAGTAGACTCCAAGTTAGACCGGTCAGGGCAAACCAAAGCTCCGTGCTAGGGCGAAAGACGATGATACCATGAGAATTCCACGCAACAGCAACACCAAAGGAAGAAGTCGTTGCTGCAACAGTATGATAATCATCCTACCATTAGAGCTTAGATAATAGCAAACTGTAAACCAGCTATAAACACATTTCGAGAAGATAAAAGAAGATAGAGAAGATCAGCGGTTTACAGATTTGTAGCCAGCTGTAACACAGACTAAATATGTATGTGTGTATGACATGTGGGACCAAATATGAATTGTGTAGTATATATTTATGGATAACTATTGTATAAATTAGCTATTAAATTAACTATAGATGATTAGGAGCCAGTAGTTGTCTATACTATTAAACTTGCTTTTATACTACTATACGTAGCTGCAAATATTTATAAAAAAAATCTTTGAAGGAGATATGCATATGCCCTTATTACGAAGGAGATTTTACTCCTGAGTCAACCAAGGAAAGAATGTTCGATGACCTGCCGCTGTGCAGTGCAGTTCAGCACTTCAGCCTTCAAGCCACACTAGCATTGACAGCGTCAGCAACAGGAGCAGTTAAGCTAAGCTGCTTAATTCTTAAAGCTGAGTTACTGTTTACAGTTTAGCATTGCAGGGCAAAGCGTGTGTGTGTGGTGGTAATGGATAATTGGCGTGTGGTTAACCACCACGATGATGGTGAAACTGGAGTTAAGGCGATAGGTACAGGCCCGTGCAGGAAGGGGCCGGGGCAGTGACCACCACCACCACATCACCCACCGCATTCAGCATCATCAGCAGCCGGAAAGGAAGGGGAAGCAAGCGAGGAAGCAGCAAGAATCCGACGCCATAATGGTCAAACGTGACTCCTCCTCATCTTCTTCCTCCTCCTACCTTTTCTTCTTCCTTTCAATTCCTCCTGCTCTTCCTAGTCTCTTCCTGCTGCTACTGCTGCTGCTCTCGTATTGGGGGTCACTTGTTCTTCTTCTTTTACTGACCTTGTTGAATTGAACGCAACAATTTTCTTGGTCGGAATCCAGGAGGGAGAGGATTAGAGCAAGGAGCAGCGTCCTGAGGCGTGAAGGACCCACCTTTGCTGCTGTTCTTGGAGCTTCCCTGCCGAAATGGCCGTAAGTTCTTGCTCGATTGACTGGCCTGTTTGTGTTTCCTGGGTTGCATCGTGCTTGGATCGGTTGGGTTTGCTCGAATCGTCTTGGGCGCTTCTCCTGCCATGTGGGATTTCTCGGGGTTGCCTCTGATTTGCAGAAATGCTTGCTTTGTCATTTCTTTCTTCTCGGTGCCCAATGTTAGGGGTTCCTTAAATTGCAGTATTTTTGTTTACTGGTGAGGAGACAGGTTGCATCTTGTGGAATCATTTTCTTGTTGCCTCCTTCTGGGGCTATTTTCCTTGGGATCTTTTTAATTTCCCAAGAAAATGTGCCAATCTGAAACCGAAATTGTTGCCATGTCCTTTTCTGCTCAATTATGTAGTTATCCAATCTGCCAAGATCCAGCCTTTCTGCATTCAAGGATGCAATTTATGCTGCGGATTCAATGTTACAAGAATGTCGACATGGCATGCTTGCAGGGCTGATTTGCTGAGTAATATATTAATGCAGGAATCTCGTGCAGAGAAAAGATCTCAGCTTCGTGAATGTGATAATTGATACAGCTTGTTTACTTGCTCGTTTGAGACCTGTCCTTTTAATGCATCCTTAGTAGTGTTCCTGCAGAAAAGATGCACAAGTAGTTACATTCAAGTTCTTTCAAGCAGTATAGATAGCAGGATCTGAGTAAATTCTGGTTGATCGGACAAAGCTGATGTCATGCATACATGATTACAATAGATAATATCTGAGAGTTTAGATAATCATGCCTATTTAGGCTAGAATTATAATTCCTGTTACATATGAAAGAAAACATGATGACAACTGACAAGGCAACAAGCTCATGTAGTAGATTCAGCAATCAGCATGCTGTCTGCTCTAGACTTTTTTTTTTCATCAGCTCTTTTTTCGGAGTATATGTGCTTCTTTATTTTTCTTAGCGCATTTCAATAATATGATAGTTCTTTGTTAAACTTTACCAGCATAAAGGAGTTCCTAAATTTGGAAGCTGGGAGGATGAAGACCGTGGTGAACACCTCTACACACAGTATTTCGAAAATGCCCGCAAGGGTAAATCTCCAGGGAGGTCTGTTAATCCAAACAATCATCATGGAGATACTGAAGCACTCTCTAAGGCCTCTCCCCTGCACGCTGGATCTGATCCAGCCATGAGAAAGCCCAAGGATGACAGACGCTCAAACCGAGAAGGTGATCTTCGTCAGCACGAAACCACTGTTCGAAAACCATATGCTGAGTCACCTAATCATAGATATGGGGATCATACCAACTATGACAATGCTGTGAGAAAAACCGGCATAGAGAAGTCACCCGTTCATCCCCGTCACCAGGCAAGAGCTGCAAACAAGGGTGGAGTTTCGTCTCCTTCACGTGACCGTAGGGGTTCATTGGAAGGAAACCGTGGATCTGCTCCCACTACACCTGGAAGGTCCAAGTTCAGATCAACTGGCCGTGGTGATGAGACGGTAAAGCTCTAACTTATGATGCATGGTATTAAGTAAACTGCCCTTTGATTCATTGACTATAAAAATACCTTTAGATGAAGTAATTAATTGCGTTTGCAGCCTGATAGAGGATCAGCCGTGCCAAAGTTTGGAGAATGGGATGAGAAAGATCCTTCTACAGGTGAAGGTTTCACTGACATATTTGAGAAGGTGAGGGAGGAGAAACAGTCTGGTACCGGCAACGCTCCCGTCATGACCAGCGAGGCAGATTATATCAAACGCTATCAACAACGCAAATATGAATCCACAGTAAGTCTACTTACTCAAAAAAAATATGGTCAGATGTGTGGAGCAAAACTATTTTGTTTTACACATTGCTTCAGATATATTTGAACGAGAAAATTGTTCATATGCCAATTGCCACTTGAGTTTGTCAATACTTGAGCTTGGTATACCTCTATTTATTTTTAGGGATCATGGCACCATGCGTAGTTATTATGCAGTAAAAATTGTCTAAAATCTACTGCTTCGAGTAGCTGCATTCTATAATTTATCGGCAAAGTCATTGCAACAATACTTCTGGTTTTTACTGGAGTATATAGTGGTTGCAAAAAGTTGGTACTACAGCAAAAATAATGGTTTTACTAGAAGTTTGGTTAGTGTTGTTTGCAAGGAATCTTGTTCTGCATGATTGCTTACAGTATGATTTGGTAATATTTTAATGTAATCCACTTTACAGGTATTGTGTAACAAATCCCTATTTTAATTCAGTTTATCGCTTCCTTGCAGGGCTGCTCATGCTTCAGTTGGTTCAAGAACTGAACTGACAGCCATCCAGCCAAGTCCTGTCAGCGAGGCCTACATAAATTTGTGTTGAAATGTATCATTGTGAGATGAATACCTCCAATCTGTTGTCATTGTTGAGATATTGTTTGGTAGCGAGACATGACATGTATTTACACGAATTTGAAGCTTCTTGTTGAGCATTTTGTGCTTTTTTTTGTATAATGAGGGATTCGTTTATCTTGGAAGGCATGTGTCTGGATAGAGGATCCAAATCCTTACGACAAAGGCTAAATTTTAACCAAATCATGAAAATCCAGGCCACTTTCAAAAAAGTAAAAAAAATGTATGAATTTCCTTTTTCTTCTTTGGAAATGTAAATTGCTGAATCTGAACAAGCACGGCACCTGACATGAAAAAATCAGGTTCGTCTATCAGAAAATTCAGAGTAATTGCCTGAACTAACATTAGTTTGCAGCGCATACAGTATGGGCTTAGATGGGCCATGATGGGCTGGGCCACGTAATGTTACATTGTTTTGCATTGTTTTGAATTTGTTGCAGTAGGCCATCTGAGGTGTTGGGAGATCTTTCGGCACTATGGCTTTCTGAACTTTAGTTCAGCAATAGCATTTACAGAGCTGAGGATTTTTTTTTCTTTTACCTTGCAAATCCCAACGGTTTTGTCGACAACAATTCTGATAGTTACGCACATGTTTCAACTTGAGTAACGACAGTTCATTTTTCAGCAGCTTGTACCAGTCTTTCCATTTTTTTTCCACAATGGGAAATTCATTCCAATAAGTAGGAACACCAATTGATCAATTCCATTGCAGCGTTATCGGGACAGAACGTTGCTGCAAAATGTTGTTGATCAATCACAAGTATCCTCTGCAGTCATGTCATGTTAGGAAAAACATCATTGAAATGGAAGTGCTAGCTGTGATTCTCTTATGATGGAGCATGAACGAGATCAAACACATCACAGTTCACAAGAAAAGGAAAAGGATAAAAAAAGAGTGAAGCAGTTTAAGCTCCAGTATGTTGTTCTTCAGCTTACAACCTGGGACTAGCTTAAAGTCAAGGCCTAGGATTGGCTTCATCTTTCTTGTAGCAGCTCACACCTGTTAGGAAACGATAGGCAAACAAACGATAAAAAACAATAGATCAATCACAGAAGACACGAGATTTAACGTGGAAAACCCTCCAAAAACAGGAGAGAAAAAACCACGTGTGCCAGCCAGCAAAATATCTTTACTATATCTGAGGTGAGGTTACATCGCCGTAAGGCGGCTTACAAGAGGTATATATATGGTGGAACTCTAAAAGGGATGACGGGCAGGCCTCCCGGCGACGCTCCAGCCCAAGCCTCCCGACGACGGGCCTCCGCTCCGCTACGGCAGAAGCTGGCATTTATTAAGTGCAAATAAATTTGGACCACAACTCAACAACACCAAACAGAAGATCGACTTTAGTGGAGTTTATCTTGAGAAAAGGTAGGTAGGTAATACATTCTACCATGAGATACAATCACACAATTAATAACCCAACAATTGCAGATTCGGTAACGATCCTACAAGGAAGTCACACCATAGAGAGAGTAAGCATAAGGATAGTGGCTAGAATTTCATTCGAAATCAATCATCAAGCACGCGTTACAAACCATGATGACAACTCTCATTTGGTCCTGAAACTGCTACTCCAAGCACAGCAGCCTACTGATTGCAGATTGACGATGAGGAGACTTTGGTTCTGGTTTTGCCTCTGATTCTGGCAAACAAAAGAAAAGAAAATTTATATGTATTGAATATATAGGGGTGAATATCCAATGCGACTCCTGAAGTTTCTCTTCGGGCTCAATTTAGTCATCGATGTTTCAAATCGTCCAAACAAGTCCTTCAAATTAATTATTTGGGTTAATATAGTCCTTGGACCCACAAAAATGCCACATGAGTATGTCAAGTCATCCTCGCATGCAGCGGTATGAATGAAATTACCATTCTACCCTTATATACCATATAGAAAAGAAAGAAATGTAAAGACAAGCGCTGCGTTAGTTAGCTCTGCGAATTTAAAGTGTTGTCCATATCAAACGCTTAAAGGGAAATGATCAATGAGTATTGGTTCAAAGTAGAAGGGAATAAGTTCACCAAGTGGCTTCGATCATGACTAATACAGCTTTGCCATAATAATTGCATGATGCCACACTTGGCGACTAAATGAAGTCAATTAATTACATAGTCGACCCGGCAAAAATTAATTACATAGTCCAAACTAGCAAGCATAATCACAGGAAGAGATCATCATATATAAGGAATAGCTACTGGAGATATTACTAAATTCCTTTGTATGCGATTAGATACCCAAATGCAACTCAAAGTTTAAAGGGTTTAGATGACACAGCTGAAGAAGTGAGTTATGAATGCGCATTGTACTCTATGTACAAATAATCATATTAATGGTTGACTAGGGGTTCTAGACACCACGCTCGAAACTTTTACCACTAAATCGTACACGGTTAAGAAACTGAAGATTACCTTCATAGCAGGCATCTAGTTCTTTATTCTCGATGTCATCCAGACGTTGCTGCAGGCTCGGTGGAAGCAAATTTATACCAGAACAATAACGAATTTCAAGAGATGTAAGAGATGAGTATGCTTGAGGCCCCTTCGGCAAGGATACCAGGCCTGGGCAATTAACAAGTCTGAGGTGTTGCAGCGACGGGAGCTCTCCTAAGCAAGATTCCAGTGATTTCAAGCTCCCGCAATAGCTGATATTTAATGCTCGAACGGCATCCAGCTTTCCTGAGAGTGACTGAAGTTTTTCACAGCGTACAATATCCAATTTCTTGATGGACGGAGGAAGATGGAGAACCTTCAAACGATTGCAATACTCTATTACTAGAGATTCTAGGCGTGGAAGGACGCGATCGTTGGTCTCGCTGGTGGACCCTGATATTAACGATGACTTGTCCGGCTGTGCGAAGCTTTCTGCACTCACCAACATCGTCGTATCCTGCTGCTGATTGAATATGATGGACCTCAGGTCATGGCAGTCCGTAATTTGTAATAGCTTGAGAGACGTCGGTAGGTTGGGGACCTCTACAAAAGAATAACAACGGCGTATCTGCAGGGACTCCAAACGTGGCAGGAGTTCACTTGGTGCTAGTGTAGATTGCCCACGAGCTTGTGTGAGTCCTGTCAGATTCTTGCATTGAAGAATATGTAACTTCCTCAAGGAAACCAAGCCCTGGAACACCTCTTCTGGCCAGTCGACAAGCGCATCGACTTCCCAAATATTCAGATCTAGGAGCTGAACAAAACATGTCCACAGAGCCAACGCACTTGGGTAAGAGAATAAAAGGTTGCAGCCAGTTAAGTCCATAAGTTCCAGGGGAGATTTATGATTCCATTTCTCATCCTCAATCACCAATTCACTCGAATCTTGTTGCTTGGCCACCGGTGCTGTTTCTGTGTCATCAGTTGACAAATGCAGGTGGAGACTGGACAATGAAGTAATATATCTGCTGGCTGCCTGTAGGGATATTTGCTGATTGACTTCATATATGTTTAAGTCTCTCAGCTTTGGTGCTTCAGGTAGAGTAGTCAACTCTGGGCACCGTCTAATATCTAATTTGTAAAGCTGAGGAAATGTTACCTCCTCCCTTGGAGTTCCATCGACTGCCTCCCATTTCTGAAAGATATCCAAACCATATAATTCCATTTCCTTCAATGCTGGAAATGCAGAATGACACACGGTGCTAACTCCGCCAGACAATTCTGAAATCACATTTGACGCTTTTGGTAAGGCAGTTAGCCTAGGACAACTTTTGATTATCAGCTTTTCAACCTCAGGAAATATCAGCTCTTCTCCTTTTACCTCATTTGTGTCCCACCATGTCTCAAAATTTCTCATACTGGCCAAGGTAAGCTCCTTCAGTCTGCAAAATGTAAAGGAGGTGTATATGTCACAGTTGAACAAGCAATTTAAACCATCCAGTCCTTCAAGGCAAAGAACTTCTAGAGCTGGCAGCTGCCACAGTGGAGGAAGCTTCTCGAGATTTTTGCAACCATCTAACACAAGCTTCACCATGTCCCGCAGTTTATTCATCCATGTTGGACATGTACTGCTCCCACAGTGAAGTATACTCAGAACCTTGAGCCCCTCGTGAGGCGTGAGACCTTCCAGCACCTCTTTATGATTATTACTCTGTGCCTCCTTGTACTTCTGACCAGTCCATCTTAAGCTCAATTCGGTCAGTTTTTCCTTCTTTCCGAGATTTGCTGCTTTTGCATCAGCTTTTGTCACATTTTCCAGTTTTCTTAGCTCTAGTCGACCACCAAGGTCCAACTGCCGCAGCTCTCCCAAATCACTGCAGCCAGAGCAAGAACCGGCTACAAAACATGTAAGCGTCTGTAGGCAAGTGAGGTGTCCGAGGTCCGGAGGCATGCTTTTTAACCTCCAACATCCGTGAGTGTACAAGTGACGGAGGGCGGTCATGTACTTCATTCCGTTTGGGAGTTGACAAAGACAGTCACAAATGGAAAGGTTCAATGTTTGCAGATGATATAGGATGCTTATGTCTTCAGGAAGTGCTTCAATTTTACTGTATGACAAATCAAGATACCTCAGGTGATGAAGATATTTTGGTTTCAGGAATGAATCTCCCCCCATCTTTAAAGCTCGCAATGAACTGTATTTTGATATTTCTCGCGAGGAACGTATCAATTCTTCTTGCGAGGAACATATCAATGTTTGGATACCTGGATATACTTTCTTTAGGAAAATGACACCTGAGAAAAACAAGTGGCGAGCGGAATAAGGAAAATCATCACTTTTACTAAGTTCTGTAGCTATAGTAGCGCATTCTTTTCCCATGGAAGATTGTGCAACATCATGCATAAGGTCATGGATCTTACAAGTAATCTTAGAGCACTTTATATCATGGAACTCAAATGGGATCCCCTTCACATCCTGAAAAAATGACCTTGACACCAACTCACTGAAAATTCTTTTACCAATGATTTCAGGGCACTCTCCTTGTTTCTCCGGGATAAAACCATTGGCCATCCATAACTGGATCAGCATTTCCACGTCGATCTCATGATCCTTGGGAAAAATAGCACAGAAGGAAAAACATTGCCGCATATATGATGGCAAGCAATTGTAACTGAGTTTGAGTATTGGTAAAATTCCATTTTCCTCATCGCAAATTGTGCTTCTGCTCAATATAGCGTCCCATTCTTTCTTGGTGGTCTTCGTACGCAGTGTAGAGCCCAATGCTGTTGCAGCTAAAGGGGAACCAGAACATTTCTTGGCAATATCACCAACCATTTCGAGTAGCTCAGGAGGAGGCCTTTCTTGTTCTGAATTGAAAGCACTTCTCTTGATAATTTCCTCAATGAAGCTTTCATTCAGGTTCTTGAGATCATAAACTTCTTGAGCTGGAGCCATTAGTTGAGCAACTGCTTGATCACGAGTTGTTGTCAAAACTGAGCTACCGCTGCCACCATGCTTAAGGTTGTACTTGAGTGCTTCCCACTTACTGGCATCACGGTTCCAGACATCATCCAAAATGAGGAGGTACCTCTGCCCACTCACAACTTCTTTAAGTTCATCCTGTGGTAACTTTTTGGCCCCTCCATTATCATTCTTCTTATTCATTTCTTTGGGAGCTGCTTCAACTATTCTTTTTGCCAGCGAATCCACATCGAAGTTGTCAGAGACACACAACCAGAGCAGCAACTGAAAATGCTTCTGAATTTCAGGGTCATTGTAAACGAGCTGCGCTAAGGTGGTCTTGCCCATCCCCCCCATTCCTACAATGGGAATAACAGTGAGATCCCCATTGCTGGCTTGAGCAAGCAATCGATTGACAATCTCCTCTTTGTCTTTCTTTCTTGACTTGTTGGCAATGTCCATAGAAAGGTTGGAGATTTTAGAATCCGTCTTTCTCCATTTGATGGAGGACATTGGTGGCTCTGGTCGGAACTTAAACCTAAAGGCATTCATCTCTGCAATTAGGACTTCAATGGCATTCAGGATCATCCTGAGCTTGTTGCCCATCCTATAACGAAACAGAATACGGTTGTGAGTAGGAATGAGCTTTATAACAACAATGCTGCCGAGCTTCTTGTAGTGCCCCTTGGCCTTGGCTTTGCGGCGGAGTGCCTCGTACTTGAACTCGTCGAAGACATCATTGGCCTGGTAGGCCACCTTCCGGAGCTCCTCAAGCCATGCTTTCGCCCCTTCCCTGTGTTTTGCCGCCTGCTCCTCGGCGTCGGCGATGACGTCGAGGATGGCGGGCAGCTTGCGTTTGAGAATCTCATGCTGCTCCTCCATGCCCTCCATGACCTTGTACTGCTCCAGGAGGTAGCTGGAGGCCTTGTCCTTCACCATGGACAGCAGTGGCCCGACCACCATGGTGGCCATCAGCTCTGCCATCGGAAGGATCTCCTAGAGCTAAGAACACACGAACAGAACACAGGGAAGCACAATAAGCAAGGAGTGTGAGCAGCAGCTGCTTTTTGTGGGAAATGGAAACTGAAGGAATGTGTTTAACTGAATGCAACTAGCTAGTATTAAGAGTTGCTGCCTGGAATGAAAGTGTTTGATTGGAATGAAGAAGTAAGCAAGTACAGTACAGTGCAGTAAGCTTCCGAGAACTGGGCGACGATAGAGATAGAAAACTGGAGTGCGCGGGAGAGAAGCCGGTCGGTCGGCGCAAGCGCAACCACGAAGTACTGACGATAGCTGAGAAGAAGCTGGGATGCTCACCGGTGTGGTGCCCTGTCGTTCTTGTGTTCCTCCGTCGACCGGAACTCAACGGCGAATTGGGCTTGGCCGGTTCGTGGAGAGCAAGGTTGGAGCTGCTCGGACCCGTCTCAAATTAAGGCGGCGCTTGACGGACGAGCTCAGCAGCCTGCAGCCGCAAGCGCGTCACTCGCCGCTGTAGCCCGTAGCCTTGCACTTGATCAGCTCCAGTCTCGAAAGGAGAGAGAGCCTCGCACAGTTGCACCTGTCGGTGGAGAAAAGAAGCAAACAACGTTGGTTTGTCTCTGTGGCCTTGTCGATAAAATCATGGAGAAGTATCCACTGCAAATAGCACAAGTGGGATAAGCAATCAACAACGTCGGGTACAGTCGTTCAGACATCAGGTCGCTTTAAGCTATTACTAGCAGATGGCAAAAATATCTCCAAAATACATTGTACTCTGTGTACCATTAAAAAAACAAATTTTGAGGAGGATGACTCCTAAAATACTGAACACCCAGCTCGATGATTTGCACAAAATTAATTACTGAACTATGAACCTTTTTTTTTAGGAAGAGATGCATCTCCTGTTTCTGTTAGAGAAATGCAGCATTACAATTGTTCAGCGAAGCGAAAACAAAAGACGGGCTACAGGTCGCCATCCGGGGCGCCACCACCAGATGCCATCCCTCAGCCAATCAGTTCAGAACAAGCTAGGATTAAGTTAAGCAAGCACAGAATTTAGGCATCCCCAGGCACAACATCTGGGTTTACAACTTCAGCCATACAAAGACTTTCACTCTAGGTGGTATTTGATTCTCCACATTTTCTTATAGGGGAATTGCATGTTGTGCATTTTCAAAGCCCTATAAAAAAACTTAACTGTGAACACACCATTCTTTGTTAATCTCCAACTCAGCTTGTCATTTTCTTTTGTTAAGGGCAGCCTATTAATCTCATTGCAAATTCTTCTCCACTTTACCCTCTTTGAAATCTAACTTCTAAGCCTTTTTGTTTTAGCTTTGCAATTGTTACATGTTTTTTTAGAGTTATATTATACAGCTCAGGAAAGCTTTCTCCTAGAAACTTGCTCCTACCCACCAGTCTTCCCAAATCTCCATTTTCCACTTTTTTTTCTCACAAAAATTTAGAAACAGATATTTTTAATCTCCATCAGACCTGACCAAAAGTATGAATCACCCACTCTATGTTTTCCGTAAGAGTGTTTTGATTTTTAAATATTTGTTTCTCAATACCTCTTGCCATAAGCCATCTATGGTTTCCAACTTCCAATGAACTATGACCATAGCATCAGAAGTAGCAATTTCAGATCGCTGTGGCCTTATCGAGGAAGAAGGGGATACAATCATGGAGAGAGAGAGAGAGAGGATGTATCCACTACAAATGGCACAAGTGGGATAAGCAATCAACAATGTCGGGTTCAGTCGTTCAGACATCAGGTCGCTTTAAGCTATTATTACTAGCAGATGGCAAAAATGTCTCCAAAATACATTGCACTCTTTGTCCCATGAAAAACCAAATTTTGAGGATGAATATAGACATAGTATATATCTATATTCATCTCTATAATTTTATTTTGTTTTTTAAGTATAGAGGGAATACGAAGAAAGCTTTTCATTATCCATTTCCTTCTACTCGGGACTCAGGAGTCCACTATTCAAACTGAAGCGGCTTCAGACCTTAGGTCACTTTAGAGTAAGGGCCTGTTTGGCACAGCTCCAGCTCCAACTCCACCCCTCCTGGAGCTGGAGCTCAGCCAAACAGTTTCAGCTTCACCAAAACTGGGAGTGGAGCTGGGTGGAGCTCTCTTACAAAATGAACTGGAGTTGTGGAGCTGGGTTTAGGCAGCTCCACAACTCCACTCCAGACCTAACTCCTGGAGCTAACTTTAGGAGTAGGAGCTTTTCCAAACAGGCCCTAAGGATTTGTTTGGGAGTGCATTTTTCTCCAATGTGTACGCTAGTACACATTAAGGACTTGTTTGGGAGTGTTTTTTTTCTCATATGTGTAAAAGGAAAATAGTAGTGAGAGATTAACCCCCATATTAACTGAGCTGTTTTGGTAAAACCAGTCATATACCCGTGCATTGCAATTGCCCATATCATTATAAAGCAATTTTTTAATCAACTACTTGTTTTTAGTTTTTCTTAAGAGTTTTTTCTCTTTTTTTTTTTTTTGCAGAGCGATCAGCAACCGCAGTTTTCTGTTTTTTTTATTTAAAGTGTAACCGCTAATTTTGGTTCTCTTATGACTTTTTCGTTTTCTCTCGCTATTTTTATTCCAACAGGCGATGCACGCTAGCGGGAGAGGTGGAAAGTAGGATGATTCCTAAAATACTGAACACCCAGCTCAATGATTTGCACAGAGTTAATTACTGAACTATGAACCATTTTTTTTTAGAAAGAGATGCATTCTTCTCCTGTTCCCATTAGAGAAACACAACATTTTTTTTTGAATGACTCGCACGAGACAGTGCGAAGTTCTATTGATAGAGCAGAAAAAATTACAAGATTACAACCCTGGAGGGTCGTAACCAGGAAAAAAGGAAAAAATATACCACCACGAAACACAGCATTACAATTGTTCAACGAACTGAAAACAAAAGACAGGCTACAGGGTCGCCATCCGGAGCACCACCACCAGATGCCATCCCTCAGCCAATCAGTTCAGAACAACCTAGGATCTAGTTAAGCAAAAACAGAATTTAGGCATCCCCAGGCACAGCATCTGGGTTTACAACTTCAGCAATACAAAGACTTTCACTCTAGGTGGTATTTTGATTCTCCACATTTTCTTATAGGGGAATTGCATGTTGTGCATTTTCAAAGCCCTGTAAAAAGACTTAACTGTGAACACACCATTCTTTGTTAATCTCCAACTCAGCTTGTCCTTTTCTTTTGTTAGGGACAGCCTATCAGCAAATTCTTCTCCACTTTACCTTCTTTTCTCCATACAGGCATCTTCTGAATCTAACTTCTTCTAAGCCTTTTTGTTTTACTTTTGCAATTGTTATGTTTTTTTAGAGTTATATTATACAGCTCAGGAAAGCTTTCTGCTAGAAACTTGCCCCTACCCACCAGTCTTCCCAAACGTGTATTTTCTCCAATTTCCACTTTTTTTTCTCACAAAAATTTAGAAACAGTTTTTTTTTTTTATCTCCATCAGACCTGATCAGAAGTACAGTATGAATCACTCACTCTGTGTATTTCTGTAAGAGTGTTTTGTTATTTTTTTAAATATTTGTTTCTCAACACCTCTTGCCATAAGCCATCTGTGGTTTCCAACTTCCACTGAACTACGAGCAATAACATCCATCCCGAAATAAAATGTTTGACAACCAATAACAAATGCAGATCGAATCACCATGAAATTTGACAAGAGAACATTCAAATAGCACAAAAGAACAACAAACCCATTATTCTCCTTCCCCATCCTGATATCCCCAAACCACCAACCAACACAATGACAAACCAGAGCGAGGAAGAGAGCAGCAGCCGACGAAGGCCACGCATCCTCGCCTGAAGCTCCCCCCGTCGGCGACGGCATTATTCGCGGTCTCCAGTCTCCACCGCCTACAGGCCGTCCCTGCCGACGTCGCCCCGCCATGGGTCGTCTCCGTCCCCCGGGCGCTCCTCTGCATGAGGCCCTCCGCTCTCCGCGCCGCAGCTGCTGCTACTGAGGCTTTGAGGGAGAACGGAGAAGGCGACGGTGGCGGTGGGGAAGGGAGATGGCAGCGGCGGCCGGCGGGGATTGGGCATGCGGCGGCGGAGTTAGAGGCTGGACTGGACCGAACCTTCGTTGGATTGGGCCATAAATGGGTGTATGTTACACGACCCATCAAAGCGTGCGTTTGAGCCCAGAGCATGGAGAAAATATTATGGGCCTGTAGTTTACACCAGTTTTGGGCCAAATACTGGGCTTCTAAGTGGGCCCTAAGTCTTTCAGCAGGATCGAGTAAATTCTGGTGGAATAAGTTCACTTTGTGACCCTTAAAAAGTGATCGAAATTTAATCCGTGACCCTAAACTATAAAACCGGATATCTCGACCCCCAAACTCTTAAAACTAGTGCAATTTGACTTCCTCGGTGGTTTTGAAGGGCGGTTTCGCTAATGTGGCACCTACGTGGCGATATTGACCGAGTCTTTGATACACGTGGCGTTGACGTGGCACTTACGCAAGCTGCCAGCCATCCTAATGTCACGTAAGTGCCACGTCAACGCCACGTGTATCAAAGACTCGATCAATATCGCCACGTAGACGCCACGTCAGCAAAACCGCCCTTCAAAACCGCCGAGAGAGTTAAATTGCACCGGTTTTAAGAGTTTGGGGGTCGAGATACCTGGTTTCGTGGTTTAGAATCATGAATTAGATTTCGATTACTTTTAAGGGTCACAAAGCGAACTTATTCCAATTCTGGTTGATCCAACAAAGCTACAGCTTTGACATAAGCTGATGTCATGCATACAATGATTACAATAGACAATATCTGAGAGTTTAGATAATCATACCTATTTAGGCTAGAATTATATTTCCTGTTACATACGAAAGATGACAACTGACAAGGGAACAAGCTCATACGGCCCTGTTTAGTTTTAAAGTTTTTTTTTCCAAACTTTCAACTTTCCATCGCATCAAATTTTTCATACACACAACTTTTCAGTCACATCGTTCCAATTTCAACCAAACTTCTAAACTTCAGTGTGAACTAAACACAACCGTAGTAGATTCAGCAATCAGCATATGCTATCTGCTCTAGAACATTGTTTTTTTCTCATTAGCGCTTTTTTTGGGAGTATAGGTGTTTCTTTATTCTTCCTATTAAACTTTACCAGCATAAAGGAGTTCCTAAATTTGGAAGCTGGGAGGATGAAGACCGTGGTGAACACCTCTACACACAGTATTTCGAAAATGCCCGCAAGGGTAAATCTCAAGGAGGTCTGTTAATCCAAACAATCATGGAGATGCGGAAACACGCTCTAAGGCCTCTCCAGCAGTGAGAAAACCCAAGGATGACAGACGCTCAAACCGAGAAGACGATCTTCGTCAGCACGAAACCACTGTTCGAAAACCATATGCTGAGTCACCTAATCATAGATATAGGGATCATACCAACTACGACAATGCCGTGAGAAAAACCGGCATAGAGAAGTCACCCGTTCATAAGTTCATTGGAAGGAAACCGTGGATCTGCTCCCACTACACCTGGAAGGTCCAAGTTCAGATCAACTGGCCGTGGTGATGAGACGGTAAAGCTCTAACTTACGATGCATGGAACTTCCTCCGTTTCTAAATATTTAACGCCGTTAAAATTTTTTTAATGTGTTTAACCGTTCATCTTATTTAAAAAATTTAAGTAACTATTAATTATTTTCCTATTATTTGATTCATTGTTAAATATACTTATATGTATTAGAACTACTGTTGGGAGCGCTGTGCGCTCTTATATTCCAAGCGCCAAACGTGTATCAGCCAGGCCCACCTCACCCCACGTTCCATCATCTCGCTCCCACCGTTATCGGAGTAAGCGATTTACTTCGA